CTGTGACTCTCTCCAGAGTCCCAACACAGCTGATGGTGATTGGTCATTAAATCAAAACAATTCACATGAAACCAATCAAGCAACCACTTGTTGGATAAACAATCTCCCAGCACACTCCCACGTGAGCAAAACCTAGGAGAAGCAAATGAGATAATATTGTTTTCCTTTTTCCCTGAGGCCTCTCAGCTTCCCAGGAGAAGAATCCTGGGCAAAGAGGATTTTTCAGAAAATGTGACAGTGACAATCATGATGTCACTTCTGCCTTCCAGAGTGCCCCAGGAGAGGTGACAGACTTCCTGAGCTTTTACACCCTGCCCTCCACCATCATGAACCACCCAACTCACAAGAGCCTGAAAGCTGCTTATTCCTTCTACAACGTCCACACCAAGACGCCTCTCATCGACCTCATGAGCGACGCGCTCATCCTCGCCAAGTCGGTGAGTGCTGCACTGAGCCCTTCCCTGAGCCACAGATGGGGCAGCTGAGGGGTGTTTTAAAAAGCTTTCATTCCATTTTCAGTCTCGTGTGAAGGGTGAGACAATACAGATGTTAGAATTCACACCATTGCAATTAGAAGCCAACTATTTCCTAATTACATTATAAGTGTATTTTGGCCTATCAGCTTTTGTCACATCATGCTGTAAATGCCTTAAAGCCAATCATCTCAAATTACCCTCAAAGCCTTCTGTCAGGCTTTGAGAATCCTCTACAAATCCATTTTTCACAGAGGTGAGGGATGCAGAGATGGGCTGGCACCATGGGACACTGGGCAGCTCACAGGAAACTCACTGCAGGCTGGCCACCCTTGGGTTTGTGGGAAGGGCTTGATCCCAGCACTATAAAAATCTAAAAGGATCTGCACCCAGGAGAGGGATCCTGGAGTACCTTGAACCTTCCAGCTTGTGGTGGTTGCTCATGTCCTACAGCAAACAGTCTGTGGTAGTTGGATTGAGGGTGAGAACACCAAGGCATTATAATTCATGCCATCACAATCAGAAGCCAACTATTTCTTAATTACAATAAACTATAAGTGTTTCTTGGCCTATCAGCTTTTGTCACACCATGCTGTAAATGCCTTAAAGCCAATAATCTCAAATTACCCTTCATGGGTTCTGCTATGTGAGCCTTCTGTCAGGCTTTGAGAATCCTCTACAAATCCATTTTTCCCACAGGTGAGGGATGCAGAGATGGGCTGGCACCATGGGACACTGGGCAGCTCACAGGAACTCACAGGAAACTCACTGCAGGCTGGCCACCCTTGGGTTTGTGGGAAGGGCTTGATCCCAGCACTATAAAATTTCAAAAGGATCTGCCACCCAGGAGAGGGATGCTGGGGTACCTTGAACCTTCCAGCTTGTGGTGGTTGCTCATGTCCTACAGCAAACAGTCTGTAGTAGTTGGATTGAGGGTGAGAACACCAAAGCTGAGCTCTTCCATTTTTCTGGGATTCAAAACCAGTCAGGAAAGGGGGCCAGGCTGCTCACAGGTGGGAGGAGCTGCCCAGCACAAAAGCAGGAACTGATGGCCTCATGTCTCCCTGTGCAGAAAGGATTTGACGTCTTCAATGCACTGGATCTCATGGAAAACAAAACCTTCCTGGAGAAGCTGAAGTTTGGGATCGGGGATGGGAACCTGCAGTATTACCTGTACAATTGGAAGTGTCCCAGCATGGCACCAGAGAAGGTCAGTGCTGTGAGGAGGGGTCTTGTCCCCACAGCCCTGGGGACAGGGGTTTGGCTGTCACCTCAGCATTCCAGCCCAGCTGGTGTCCTTGCAGTGTCACACACAGTGAGGGTGGATCCCTCTGTCATCTGTGCCTGCAGAGTGTGTCCCTGGGGAAAACCCCTCCACATTCATCTTCCAAAGCTGATTTTATTCCTGGACTAGTGCAGGTTCAGTCCTTCACACCAATTCTTTCCCTCTAAGGAAGGAGGCCAAGCACGGAGGAGACAGCAGAGGGCTGCAGGGTGACAGAGGTGACACTGGGGGTTGTGACAGTCACCTGTGATCCCTCGTGGGTGTCACTGTGTCCTGGTGGGCTGGGAGGAGCAGCCACCCCTCTGGAGAGAGCAGGCAGGCTGGAGCAGGAGCTGTGACAAAGGAGCTGAGCCACAGGATCCCAGGATGTCCTTTGTCCCCAGGGCCAGCAGCCTGTTCCCCACTGCTCCAGAGCTGGCCTGGGTCCCCACCTGCCTGCCCTGGGCCATTCTGAGGCAGCCCCTGGTTGCTGCTGTCCCTCCACACCAGAGATGTGATTCAGCACCTCTCCAGTCCACAGGCACCTTGCAGACCAGAATCTGCCCAGCTACACACAGCTAATTAATGCCCTAACAGCTAATTAATGCCTTGATGGCAGTCACAGGGCTTTGGGTTCTCTGGTGTGAGGCCAGGTCTGTCCCTGGGCACAAGCTCTGTGCCCTAAACCAGCCTCACTTGCCTGCTAGGAAGCCCCAGGAGGTTCCCTGGAGGTGTCCAACTTGGCCTTGGACACTTCCAGGGATCCAGGGGCAGCCCCAGCTGCTCTGGGCACCCTGTGCCAGGGCCTGCCCACCCTCACAGAGAGAAATTTCTTCCCAATATTCCATCTAACCCTGCCCTCTGGCAGTGGGAAGCCATTCCCCTTGTCCTGTCACTCCAGGCCCTTGTCCAAAGTCCCTCCTGGTGGCCCTTTTGGCACTGGCAGAGGCTCTGAGGCCTCCCTGCAGCCTTCTCCAGGCTGAACAACCCCACCTCCCAGCAGGGATGTTCCATCCCTTTACTCATCATGAGCTGAGAAACACCCTTGGCTCATGAATCGAGGCTGCCTCATAACCTGGTGGGGCTTGTCACACCCCAAACATTGGTCACCTCCCCAGATCAGAGCTGGGCAGGGCCTGTGTGCCCTCTCAGCCACAAACCCAGGGCTTTGCTGCTCTCAAATACCCCAAAAGCAGTGGGGAAACCTGTGACAGCATTCACAGGGGTCTAAGGATGAGGGAAGAGATGAGGATCTGACTCCATGATTCAGAAGGCTTGATTTATTATTTTATGATATATATTACATTAAAATTGTACTAAAAGAAAGGATTTCCTCAGAAGGCTGGCTAAGAATAGAAAAGGAAAGAATGATAACAAAGGCTTGTGGCTTGGCTCTCTGTCTGAGCCAGCTGGGCTGTGATTGGCCATTAATTAGAAACAACCATATGAGACCAATCCCAGCTGCACCTGTTGCATTCCACAGCAGCAGATAACCATTGGTTACATTTTGTTCCTGAGGCCTCTCAGCTTCCCAGGAGGAAAAATCCTAAGGAAAGGATTTTCCCTAAAAGATGTCTGTGACAGAAACCAACACAGACAGCATCGAGCTGGGCACAGAGCAGAGGGCACCTCCTGAGCCCAATTTCTGTCCTGATGAGCCCAATCTCTGTCCTGATCCCTATTTCCAGGTTGGATTGGTGCTGCAGTAAGGGAGCCCTTGCCAGGAGAGCGTGGAGGAGCCGGGCCTGAGGAGGTGCTGCCCTCATCCTTTCTGCCAAAGCCGGAGCCACGCCGGGAGAGAGGGGCACCAGAGCCCCCCTGCTGCTGCCAGCCACCTCCTTGTTTGATTTAACTGCATCCTCCTAAAGACATGATCAAGGGAATGTAACTGCTGAAACTAGATCATGATTGGCATATAATGGATTTAACGGGTGAATAATAAAAGTATATATTATATATATTTTAAATCTTTCCTGTTCCCAACTGCCATGAGTTACATTCGGCTGCTGAAGGTCACCACTGGGCTGCTGGACTGGGACTTTTCTCCGTGGGGACAGCTGAGGTTGATGCTGATGGTGGCTGCTGGTCAAAACCCTCCTGCCTGCCCCGAGGGTGCTTCAGGCTCTTTGCCCCAGGTTTGCTCCTGACTCTGTTTAACAGGGGGAGATTCCTTTCCAAGGGCTATTTGTGCAAGAGATGCCTTGTCCCACCTCCTGCCCAGCCACAGAGACTCCAACCCTTCCTGCTGGACAGCAGTGCCCGAAGATCCAGAGGGGTTCAGCTCCAGGCACACCCTGCTCTGCTCAGGCTCCTGGGGCTCCTTCCCCTCAGCCTCCCCACTGGGGATGCTCCACTGCCACTGCCACAGCCTCTCTGCTCAGCTGCTTTTCTCTGGAAGCATGGAAATCTGGATACTCCATCGGCATCATCCTCCCCGGTGCCTCCAGCACCAGCTCCCGGTGTCACCTCGTGCTGTGGGATCCTCTGAGAGAAAGGAAACGTTGTCATGGCAACCCTCCATCCCATCCAGGAGTGCCAGGACATCCTCCTGCCATGTCCCGAGCCCAGAGCTCCGAGATGCTCCTGCCTGCCCAGCCAAAGGTTTCCAAAGCTGCACACCAAGGCCAAGACCCCGTCTATGCACTGTCACACCTCCCTGTGCTGGCGTGTCCCTGTCACACCCCGTGGCACCACGGACCCTGAGAGCCTGTGCCCGCCCCAGCCTGGACTTGTGGGGCCTCAGAGGGGACCAGGAGCCCATCACACCCCCCTGGCAGTGCCATCACATCGCCCTGCTTGGGGTCCTGTGTCACCTATGCAAGTACCTCTGTGTCCCCCGCTGTTCCCTGCTGTCCTGGGTGTGGGTGGGGGACCCTCCCCTTGTCCCCATGGCAGGTTTGAGGGCTGCTCCCCAGGGCACTGCTGGTTTGGGGGTGGGCTCAGCCCTGATCCAGCCACGATGGGCCCCGGAGGGTGACAGGGACACTGGGACAGGCTCTGTTAAAATAAAACCTTTATTCCACTGGCTTGATCCCAGGCTGTAAATCTGTGCCTGTCACTGGTGCCAGAGCTTGGCAACGTGTGCCCACCCGGGCACAATGGAGTGTGTGGTGGCAGGGTCCCCTCAGGGACTCCAGGGTGACGATGGCACCATCCTTACACCCCAAGAGAGAGGGGCTGGGGTGGCCCATCCTTGCACCCCAAGCGTGGCCAAGACTGGTGAGATTTGCTGGTTGCTGTCACCCATGTCACCCCTGTGTGGCTGTGCTGGGCTGTTGGCCCAATCCTGGTTGTCACAGCATCTCTGTCCCCTCGAGGACAGGACTGGGACACCAGTGGGTGGCACTGGGCAGGGGAGCCCCCACTCCTTTGGGTCCTCCACAGACAGGTGAGCAGTGTCCTCGGGCTGTCCCCACGCAGGGAGGAGCCTGTTGTCCCCACAATGTCCCCCTTGGGCACCTCGGGGACACCAGGCTGTCCTCCCGTGCACCCTCACAGGCTCTTGGCTCGAACGTGCACGAAGAGCGTGGCAGGGGCCAGGGAGGCGCCGTCCTTGGAGAGCAGGTGGATGTGGCGGTACCCTGGGGACACACAGGGGGCTCAGCCCGTGCCAGGCGCTGTCCCCATGCCCGGGGGGCAGCGGGGTGGCACCTGCCCCCACCTTGGCGCATGCTGGGCAGGGGCAGCGTGAACTGCCCCACGAAGTCATTGCAGGAGGTGCTGTCGTAATCCTCCACCACGAAGCGCACCAGGGCCAGCTCGGGCACCCGCACCTGGAACCGCAGCGTCTCCTCCCAGCGCGGGTTGAAACCTGAGGCACCGGCAGAGGGCTGGGTGGGGCCACCGGGGACAGGCAGGACCCCGGGCACTGCCCCTGCCCCGGCTGAGCTGCCGCGCTGCACTGGGGATGTGGGGATGGGGGTGATGCTGGGGCTACAGTGGGCTGGGCTGGGGGAATAGGGGTCATACTGGGGCTGGGCTGGGGGAATGGGGGTCATACTGGGGCTGGACTGGGAGAATGGGGGTCATACTGGGGCTGGACTGGGGTCATACTGGGGTAAAGGGGGTCATACTGGGGCTGTGGTGCAGTGTACTGGGGGAAAGGGGGTCATACTGGGGCTGTACTGGGAGAATGGGGGTCATACTGGGGTTGTACTGGGGAAAAGGGGGTCATACTAGGGTGTACTGGGAGAATGGTGGTCATACTGGGGAAAAGAGGGTGATACTGGGGCTGTACTGGGAAAAAGGGGGTGATACTGGGCCAGTACTGGGGGAATGGGGGTCATACTGGGGCTGTGGTGGGCTGTACTGGGGGAATGGGGGTCATACTGGAGCCCTGATGGGGTATACTGGGGAAAATGGGGCCAAACTGGTGCTGGACTGGGTTATACTTGGAGAAGGGGGGTTGTACAGTGACTGTGGTGGAGCAGACTGGAGGGATGGGGTCATACTGGGAATCTGATGGGATGTACTGGGGGAATGGAGGTTATGCTGGAGCTGGGCTGGACCATACTGGGAGAATGGGGGTAACACTGGGGCCATGGTGGGGTATACTGGGGTAATGGGGTCATACTGGTCTTGGGCTGGGTGTACTGGGGAAAAGGGGGTCATACTGGGGGGAATGAGGATCACACTGGGCTTGGGCTGGGTGTACTGGGTACCATGAGGGAGCAGCACTGGGAGAACTGGGACATGATGAACCCTGCCACTGGTGTGGATCTGGCTGTGCTGGGGAGGGGACTGGGGTGTGCTGGGCACTGGGATGTCCTGGGCACTGGGGTGTGCTGGGCACTGGGGTGTGCTGGGCACTGGGGTGTCCTGGGCACTGGGATGTGCTGGGCACTGGGTGTGCTGGGCACTGGGGTGTGCTGGGCACTGGGATGTGCTGGGCACTGGGGTGTGCTGGGCACTGGGTGTGCTGGGCACTGGGATGTGCTGGGCACTGGGTGTGCTGGGCACTGGGGTGTGCTGGGCACTGGGATGTGCTGGGCACTGGGATGTGCTGGGTACTGGGGTGTGCTGGGCACTGGGATGTGCTGGGCACTGGGGTGTGCTGGGCACTGGGGTGTGCTGGGCACTGGGATGTGCTGGGCACTGGGATATCCTGGGCACTGGGATGTGCTGGGCACTGGGATGTGCTGGGCACTGGGTGTGCTGGGCACTGGGATGTGCTGGGCACTGGGATGTGCTGGGTACTGGGATGTGCTGGGCACTGGGGTGTGCTGGGCACTGGGTGTGCTGGGCACTGGGATGTGCTGGGCACTGGGATGTGCTGGGCACTGGGTGTGCTGGGCACTGGGATGTGCTGGGCACTGGGATGTGCTGGGTACTGGGGTGTGCTGGGCACTGGGATGTGCTGGGCACTGGGATGTGCTGGGCACTGGGTGTGCTGGGCACTGGGATGTGCTGGGCACTGGGATGTGCTGGGTACTGGGGTGTGCTGGGCACTGGGATGTGCTGGGCACTGGGATGTGCTGGGCACTGGGATGCCCTGGGCACTGGGATGCCCTGGGCACTGGGATGTGCTGGGCACTGGGATATGCTGGGCACTGGGGTGTGTTGGGCACTGGGGTGTGTTGGGCACTGGGGTGTGCTGGGCACTGGGATGTGCTGGGCACTGGGTGTGCTGGGCACTGGGGTGTGCTGGGCACTGGGGTGTGTTGGGCACTGGGATGTGCTGGGCACTGGGGTGTGCTGGGCACTGGGATGTGCTGGGCACTGGGTGTGCTGGGCACTGGGGTGTGCTGGGCACTGGGGTGTGCTGGGCACTGGGTGTGCTGGGCACTGGGATTTGATGGGCACTGGGGTGTGCTGGGCACTGGGGTGTGCTGGGCACTAGGATATCCTGGGCACTGGAGTGTGCTGGGCACTGGGATATGCTGGGCACTGGGGTGTGCTGGGCACTGGGGTGTGCTGGGCACTGGTTCAACTGGCAGTGAGTGCTGGGCTGTGGGTACCCATGTCCCTCATGGGGATTAGGGTGCCCCTGGTATCAAGGTGTCCCTGGATCAGGGTGCCCTGAGGTGTCCCTGGAGCCCCCCTGGAGATCAGGTTCCATGGGGTGTCTGCAGGGATCAGGGTGCTCCAAGAGACCCTGGCTTGTCCTTGGGCATTCCTGGGATTGGGGCAGTAATGGGTTGTGACTGGATGTGCCTGGGGGCTGGGGTGTCCCCAGGGTGCCCAGGGGTGTCCCCAGGGTGCCCAGGTGGCAGCACTCACCGTTGTTGAGCTTGTGGTGGGTTTGTTGCTTGGCACAGTCGGCCGGGACCCCGTGGATCTCCACGCGCACGAAGGGATCCACGATGGAGCTGCCCTTGTCCCTGTTGAGCTTGGGCAGCTGCTGGGCTGTGATCACCTGGGCACAGGGACCAGGGCACAGGGGACATGTGGGTGTCCCCAGAAGGGACCTGAGTGGCACTTGGCTGGGGCTGGGGACACAGTGAAAGGAGGGAGGTGGCTGATGCCACCCAGTGGTTGGCAGCAGCTGGATTTGGGGACAGGGTCGTGTCACCCAGGAGATGTGTCATGGGTGGCACAGTCAGGAGTGGGGATGGGGTGAGAAGGAGGGAGTGGCTGGTGCCATCCATGAGAAGGTGACACATGGCTGGGGACATGGTGGTGTCCCCCAGAAAGGGATGGCACTCAGCCAGGAGTGAGGATGGGGTGAAGAGGAGGGACATTGTTGGTACCACACAGGAGAAGGAACATGAGTGACACGTGGCTGGGTCCTCAGGAGGAGGGATGTGGGTGGCCCTTGGCTGGCACTGGGGACATGGTGGCTGATGCCATCTCAGAGAAGGGACATGGCTGACACCAGCTGGATTTGGGGACAGGGGTGGTGTCACCCAGAAGTGTCATGGGTGGCACAGTCAGGAGTGGGGATGGGATGAGGAGGGGGGAGATGGCTGGTGCCATCCAGGAGAAGGTGACACATGGCTGGGGACAAGGTGGTGTCCCCAGAAGGTAGCAGATGGCACCCAGCCAGGAGTGAGGATGGAATGAGGAGGAGGGAGGTGGCTGGTGCCATCCAGGAGAAGAGACATGGGTGGCACATGGCTGGGGACAAGGTGGTGTCCCCAGAAGGGGATGGAGGGAGGTGGTTGGTACCACACAGAAGGAACATGAGTGACATGTGGCTGGGTCATCAGGAGAAGGGATATGGGTGGCCCTTGGCTGGCACTGGGGACATGGTGGGGAAGAAGGAGGTGGCTGATGCCATCTCAGAGAAGGGACAGAGCTGATACCAGCCAGATTTGGGGACAGGGTTGGTGTCACCTGTGAAAAGATGCAGGTGGCACCTGGCCAGCCATTGGAATATCAGGGATGTCACCCCACAGGGACCTGGGTGGCACTCAGCTGGCCTTGGGGACAGGCGGGCGGGGTGTCCTCACCCTGATGTGCAGGGCCAGGCGCCGGGAGCCCTCGCCGGGGGGGCTGTGCAGGCAGGGCGGTTTCAGGACGTAGCCACAGCGCCCGTTGGGCAGGAAGCGCCCGGCGTTCAGGTCCATCTCATAGCCCGGCGTCTGGAAGTTCAGGGCCACTGTGGGGACAGCAGGAGGGGCTGTCAGGGGTGGGTGACACCTCCAGGAGTGGGTGCCAGGTGAGAGGGGCCCGGGGTCTCACCCAGCTGGCAGCCAGCGTTCCACATCTCCTGGGGGTTGTAGTTGGCAGAGTTCATCTTGAGCCCCAGCGGGTACACGCGGCTCAGCTGGCGGGCGTTGTACCGGACCAGGGCTGGGCCTGGGGATGGACACGGCTCAGGGGGGGCTGCTGCACCCTCCAGTGCTGCTGGGGGACCCCAACAGAGGCTGAGGGGCCCAAGGACACGGACAGAGCCTGCCCAGATGGGTGGGCCTGAGCCTGATATATGACCTTGAAACCAGACCCCAAACCTGAACCTTGACCTTGGATCCCTGACCCCAAACCTCTGACCTTGATCCTGATCTTGACCTCACACTTGGACTTTAGACCCCTGACCCTGGACCTTGACCATGGAACCCAGACCCTGACCCTGATCCCTGGACCTCAGACTCCAAACCAAAACCCTCAAGCCTATGCCCTGACCCAGATCCTAATCCTTGACTCCAGACACTGACCCTGGACCCCAGACCCTGAACACCCAAGATCTGACTCAGATCTTAATCTCAGGCCCTGCCTGACCTCAGATTCTGACCCTGACCCCCAGCCCTTGATCCCAGACCCCCCCCCCCTTGATCCCTGGACTCTGACCCAGACCTTAATACCTGCCCTAGGCCCTGGACCCAGATGCCACATCCCAATCCTGATCCCAGACCTTGATCCTGGTCGTGTGACCCCAGTCCTCGCCTCTGGCCCCAGCAGGCCCTGCCAGCAGACCCCAGTCCCACCCATCCAGGGCAGCCTGGGTGAGGCCAGCGTGCCCCTGACCCCTCATGGAGCCACCCTAGAGACTGAGCCCATCCTCAGCCCATCCCAGTGGCTCAGGAGCAGGGACCCACCCTGTCCCCACCCTGTCCCCATCTGGTGACCCTCACCTGCCTCCTTGATGAGCTTCCGAGCCTTCCTCTCGCTGAAGGAGGACACGTGGCAGGGCTGGGGGTGGCGCAGGGCCTGGGCCAGCCCAGGGAAGGGGACAGCCTGGCAGTACACCACCAGCGCCGACAGCTCTGGGGACACCTGCGACGCGTCCTTGGCCTGCAGCGGGAGCCACCGTGGCAGCAGGGAGGGACAAGCTGGCCCTGGTGGCCATCTGCCAGTCCAAGGGCCTACAGACCCCCTCCCCTGCTAGTGCTGAGTGCTGAGACCCCCAGGGCTGTGGAGACCCAGAACCCCAGGCAATGGAGTGATGGACCAGGGGCTGATGGAGAACCCAAGGAGGTTGAGAACCTGCAGTCATGGAGAACCCAAGGGAATGGACAACCCAAGATGTTACAGACCCCAAGATGAGAGAGACCCCAAAGTGCTGGAGACCCCAAGAGGATGGGATACTTGAGGTGACAGAGACCCCAAGGTGGTGCAGAACCCCAGGCAATGGAGTGATGGACCAGGGGCTTGGGGGAACCCGAGGAGATTGAGAACCTGCAGTCATGGAGAACCCAAGGGAATGGACAGCCCGAGATGTTACAGACCCCAAGATGAGGGAGACCCCAAAGTGCTGGAGACCCTGAGGTGATGGGCACCTCGAGAGGATGGAATACTTGAGGTGACAGAGACCCCAAGGTGGTGCCGACCCCAACAGGTCACCCTGGATGTGATGGAGGCCCAACACAATGGAGAACTTGAGGTGACAAAGAAATCAAAGTGTTGGAAACCCCAGAAACAGGAAGAGGGAGGCACATCTGAGCTGTCCCCAAGCTCTGTCCCCTCTGACAGCCACTCACTGCCCCCACAGCACCCACCCTGTCAGCCCCCCCAGCTCCAGCATCACCCACCTGCAGAGGTTTGATCTCCTGCAGCGACTGCAGCGACTGAAAGAGGAGAGAGCAGGGCTGCAGAGGGCATGGCAGAGCTGGCAGCGCTCAGCTGGGACAGCCCCAGGATGCCCTGGCACCACCAGGATGCTCTGATCCATCAGCACCACCAGGATGTCGTGGTCCCCTGGCACCATCAGGGTGCTCTGACCCATCAGGACCACCAGGATTCCATGGTTTCCCAAAACCACCAGGATGCTCTGATCCATCAGGACCACCAGGTCCCCCAAAACCACATCCCTGGGGAAATCTCTTACTCGCCGGGGGCTTCTCTCCTGCAACTTCTCCTCGTCTTCCTCCTCTTCCTCTTCTTCCTCCTCGGGGTCCAGAAGGGAGGTGACACCCCGTGGCTCCTGCCACAGCTCTGGCAGCTTCTTGCCCTTCACCAGGATCTTTTCCTTCAGCTGCTGCAGAGGGCAGGTGCGAGCTCAGGGCTCGGAGGGGACATGGGGACGCCGTGGTGGCACACGGGTGGCCTTACCTCTGGTGAGGGGAGGTCGTGGGGGTCCTGCCCCTGCAGGGGCTGTGTCAGCAGCCTGTCCCCAAGGATGGCCTTCATGTGCCGGGCCATGGTGGCCTGCTGCTCCAGCCCGCAGTGGTTCTCCAGGGACAGGATGACAGGGTAGGGCGATTTCTGGGCATGGGGAGGATGCCCTCAGCAGCGGGCACCGGGCACCCCACACTCAGCACCGGGCACCCCACACTCCACACCAGGCACCGGGCACCCCCGGGGCTCCCGCCCGGTCTCACCTCGAAGGCGGAGTCGCGGATGCTCTCGATGACGTCACGGAAGAGGATTTTGGAGGTGAGGGTGTGCCCGTGGTACACGACAGGTTCCCCGTCCGGGCCCTCCCAGCAGTCCAGCTCCACACAGCGGCACCCGGCCCGCAGAGCCCTGCCCCGACACCGGCACCGGGTCAGCCCCTGTGCCCCCGGAGCCACGGGAGCTGCTGTGTGTCCCTGCGTCCGTGTGCCCCTGTGGCTGTGTGTCCCCGTGTCCGTGTGCCCCTGTGGCTGTGTGTCCCTGTGTCCGTGTGTCCCTGTGTCCGTGTGTCCCTGTGTCCGTGTGTCCCTGTGTCCATGTGTCCCCGTGTCCGTGTGTCCCCGTGTCCGTGTGTCCTTGTGGCTGTGTGTCCTTGTGGCTGTGTGTCCATGTGTCCCTGTGTCTGTGTGTCCCTGTCACTGTGTGCCCCTGTGTCCGTGTGTCCCTGTGGCTGTGTGCCCCTGTGTCCGTGTGTCCGTGTGTCCCTGTGTCTGTGTGCCCCTGTGTCTGTGTGTCCCTGTGTCTGTGTGTCCCTGTGTCCGTGTGTCCCTGTGTCCGTGTGTCCCTGTGTCTGTGTGCCCCTGTGGCTGTGTGTCCCCGTGTCCGTGTGTCCCCGTGTCCGTGTGTCCTTGTGGCTGTGTGTCCTTGTGGCTGTGTGTCCATGTGTCCCTGTGTCTGTGTGTCCCTGTCACTGTGTGCCCCTGTGTCCGTGTGTCCCTGTGGCTGTGTGCCCCTGTGTCCGTGTGTCCGTGTGTCCCTGTGTCTGTGTGCCCCTGTGTCTGTGTGTCCCTGTGTCTGTGTGTCCCTGTGTCCGTGTGTCCCTGTGTCCGTGTGTCCCTGTGTCTGTGTGCCCCTGTGGCTGTGTGTCCCCGTGTCCGTGTGTCCTTGTGGCTGTGTGTCCATGTGTCCCTGTGTCTGTGTGTCCCTGTCACTGTGTGCCCCTGTGTCCGTGTGTCCCTGTGGCTGTGTGCCCCTGTGCCCCTGTGTCCGTGTGTCCCTGTGTCTGTGTGTCCCTGTGGCTGTGTGTCCTCCCACCCATCTGTCCCTGCACCTCTATATCCATGTGTCCACATGTCCACATGTCCATCTGTCTGTGCACCTCTATATCCACACATCCACGTGTCCATGTGTCCATCTGTCCCTGCACCTCTATATCCACACATGCATGTGTCCATCTGTCCTTGTTCCTCTATATCCACACATCCACATGTCCATTTGTCCCTGCACCTCTATATCCACACATCCATGTGTCCACGAGTCCATCTGTCCTTGTACCTCTATATCCACATATCCATGTGTCCATCTATCCCTGTTCCTTTATATCCACATGTCCACATGTCCATCTGTCTGTGCACCTCTATATCCACAATTCCACGTGTCCATGTGTCCATCTGTCTGTGCACCTCTATACCCACACACCCACGTGTCCATGTGTCCCTGCACACCCATGTGTCCGTCTGTCCCCATTCTGTTCCCCAGGGACACACACCTGACGTAGGCCTCGGTGCTGCTGCTGCCTCCGACCTGGTTGCGGGTCAGGTAGGTGTTGTGGGACGAGGAGATGAAGTAGTGGCTCAGGGGCTGGCTCATGTCCTGGTGCACCTTGGTGTGCTCCTGGTTGAGGATGTCCCCAGCAGCTGACAGCAGGTACATCATGAACCCGTCCAGCATCATCAGGTCCTGCTGCTTGGCTGTGGGACACGGTGGCAGGTGTCACACGGTGGCAGGTGTCACATAGTGGCAGGTGTCACACGGTGGCAGGTGTCACATGGTGCTGGCAGGGTGGCACCCTGAGGGCTTTCCCCACTTGGAGGTGCCATGTTCATCCCTGACCTGGCACTGTGGCACCCAGGGGACGTGTAAGTTCTCTTGAGTGTCCCATCTCCATCCTGATGTCACCCAAACTGCTGGTGCCACATTCACTCTGGATGTGGCATGGTGACACCCATGAGCTGTGGAGGTTCCCTGTCCCCACCCTGATGCCCTCTGTCCTCCCAGTGCCGTGTCACCCCAGACCTGGCACTGTGGCACTCAGGGGAGGTCCCCTTTGTGTCCTATCTTCCATCTGATGTCCTCCAGCCTCCTAGTGCCACATCTACCTTAAGGGTACTATTGTGACATGGAGGTCCTTCATCCCCACCATGATGTCCCCTGGTGCTGTGTTCACCCTGCACCTGCCATGGTGGGACCTGAGGAGGACAGAAGTCCTTCATCAGTGTCACATTCATAGCAGAGCTGGCATCACACCACCCATGAGACCTGGAAGTCCACGACCTGCCCATCCCCACCATCCCCAGGGAATGTGCCCTGTTCCCACGGTGTCACATCCACCAGGTGCCAGCCAGGCCATGTGTAGGATGGCAGACACTGGCAATAGGCACCAGGACAGCAATAGAAACCTTGGAGGACCCCATACCCATTTGGGGTGATGATACCCCAAATCAGAGCCCCATCCCTACATCCATGAGCGCCCAGCCCACGATCCCCCAGCCTCACCCTTGTCGTTGAGCTCATGGGTGCGGATGATGGCGCGGGCCTGGCGCAGGCTGCTCTCCTCTCCCTGGTCCCTCAGGAAATCCTGCAGCTCCTCGGCCGACAGCACCCGGTCCTCGCCCGAGTAGCGCCCAAAGAGCTCCTCGAGCTCGGGGCGCCGCAGCAGCCGCCGGCAGAACTCCTCCAGCTCCCGGCCCTCCAGCCGCTCGTTGCCAGAGTGGTCGCACTCCTGATGGCACAGCCCAGCCTCAGGGACTGTCCCCTGCCCGTGGGGACGGGGTACAGCCACCCCCTGCCTTGTTCTGCCTGTCCCCGGAGCGGGCAGGGTGAGTGGGGTGAGTCCTGACCCCTATTCCCCCAGACAGAGCCCCCTGACCCCCCACTCTGGGATGGAGCAGAGCAGAGCTCCGTGCCTCAGTTTCTGTCCTTGTGCCTCTATATCCACACACCCACGTGTCCATCCCTCCCTGCACCTCTATACCCACACACCCACGTGTCCATATGTCCTTGTTCCTCTATACCCACACACCCACGTGTCCATCTGTACTTGTTCCTCTATATCCACACATCCACGTGTCCATCTGTCCTTGTTCCTCTATATCCACACACCCATGTGTCTATCTGTCCCTGCACCTCTATATCCACACATCCACGTGTCCATCTGTCCCTGCACCTCTATATCCACACATCCAGGTGTCCATATGTCCTTGTTCCTCTATACCCACACATCCACGTGTCCATATGTCCTTGTTCCTCTATATCCACACACCCATGTGTCTATCTGTCCCTGCACCTCTATATCCACACATCCACGTGTCCATCTGTGGGAGATGCCCAGAGGAGCAGCTCTCCATAGGGGAGAAATGTCCCACCTTGGGGACACAGAGCAGTGGCTGGGACAGCTCAGACCACCTCACCCCTCTCCACCACATACCCCTGGTGGGACCCAACCCTCGGTGGCTTTGGTGTGAGGGGTTTGTCAGCTCTCTGTGCTGGGCAAGGCAGAGAAGGAGCAGCTCAGGTGGTGCAGCTCAGGTACCTTGAAGAGCTTGGAGGCATAGACATCATCCATGTCAATGTTGAGCATCCTCAGCATGCTCTTCACCTCCCTGAAGGACATCTTGTTGTCCTTGTTCCTGTCTGCTCGCTGCAGGACCCCGTGGATCCAACTGCACCGGGCTAAGGAAACCTCTGGGTGTCACCCACAGCCGTCCCCACCCTGTCCCCAACCCCTCCTCGAAGGATACTGGTCGAGCTTCTCCATCTGGCTCATGGCCTGCAGCCTCCCCATCAGCTTGCCGAGCCCCTGCACCCAGTGCCGGGCGTCCTCCTCGCCTCGGGCGGCCAGGTCCAGGTTCTTGCGGCGGCCCTTGAAGGCCAGGCTGAAGCAGTGGCGCTCGGGGAAGGCGGCTCCGTGCTTGCGCAGCCCCTCGGAGCGGCGACCCTCGCGCACCGCCTCGATCAGCGCCACCGAGACTGCGGGGACAGCGGGGCAGCGGGGGCCGGTCACCCACCCGCCAGCATCCCTGCAGGACACCCCGTTCTGCTGACGGACAGACAGCCCCTGGGATGGACAGACAGCCCGCGGGACGGACAGACAGCCCCCGGGACAGACAGACAGCCCCCGGGACGGACAGACAGCCCCCGGGACGGACAGACACCCCCGGGACGGACAGACACCCCCCGGGACGGACAGACAGCCCCCGGGACAGACAGACAGCCCCCGGGACGGACAGACACCCCCGGGACGGAGAGACACCCCCCAGGACGGACAGACACCCCGGCTGCTGACGGACAGACATCCCGCGGGACGGACAGACACCCTGGCTGCTGACGGACAGACATCCCGGCTGCTGATGGACAGACACCCCGCGGGACAGACAGACACCCCCGGGACGGACAGACAGCCCGCGGGAAGGACAGACACCCTGCGGGACGGACAGACACCCCCCGGGACAGACAGACACCCCGGCTGCTGACGGACAGACATCCCGCAGGACAGACAGACAGCCCTGGGACGGGGCTGGGCTCCGCTCGGTGCCGCTGCCGGGTTTATCCCGCTAATCCCAGGCGCGACAGGAGCCGCTGTCCCCGCGGGGATGGGGACGGGGACGCTGCCAGGGAGGGGACGGAGCCGCCGTGCTCCAGGCACCCATCCCGGCTGAGGGTGGGAAGGGACGGGTGACAGCGGGGATGGGGACAGGACCTCGGGGGATGGGGAATAGTGGGGGCTCTCCCAGCTCCATGTACTGGGAGGCACTGGGAAGGGCTGGAAGGCTCTGGGAGCCACTGAGTAAAGGGTGCTGGAGGTCAGGTATTGGGTAGGGGTCCACATTCTGGGTTGGGTTCAGCTCAGGTGAGGGTCTGGACCCCAGGCTTGGGGTGCAGGTTTGGGGTCTGGGTGCTCAGCTGGGGTCTGAGTGAGGGGGATGTCAGAGTTCTGGGTCCAGGTCACCGGTGGGGACCCAGGCAGGGATCTGGGGCACAGGGGGCATCTGGGGCACAGTTGGGGTCTGGATTGTGGAGTTTCATGCCCCAGGATTGGCAATCCCCTGGTTCTCACTGCGGGATTTGGGTCCTGGGCTGGGATCTGGGTCCTGGAACTCAGGGGGGGTCTGGGTTCTGAGTGGGGGTCCAGGTCTTGGGTGGGGATCTGGGAACTGGGCTGTGGTCAGCATCCAGGTGGGGCTCTGGATGCTGGGAATGGATCTGGGTCCTGGGTTGGGGTCTGGATTCCACGTGGGGGTCCTGGCTTGGGGTCTGGGTCTCACACAGACATGTCCATATCTGGATTCTGTGTGGGAGTCCAGACCCAAGGCTGTGGGTGAGGTCCTGGACTGGGATCGGGGTCCCAGGTGGGGTCTGGGTAAGGGTCAGGTCCTTGGTGGGGTCCAGGGGTGGGTCTGGGGCAGTGCCCGGCTCCTGTTCCCTGCAGCTGCTGACAGCCCAGGCTGTGTCTGGTGTCCCCAAGCCCCAGGAGACAGAGGCAGCACTCACAGCTCCAGGATGGGACAGGGGCAGCACTCACAGCTCCGGGATGGGACAGGGGCAGCACTCACAGCTCTGGGGTGGGACAGGGGCAGCACTCACAGCTCTGGGGTGGGACAGGGGCAGCACTCACAGCTCTGGGATGGGACAGGGGCAGCACTCACAGCTCCGGGGTGGGACAGGGGCAGCACTCACAGCTCTGGGATGGGACAGGGGCAGCACTCACAGCTCTGGGATGGGACAGGGGCAGCACTCACAGCTCTGGGGGTGGGACAGGGGCAGCACTCACAGCTCTGGGGTGGGACAGGGGCAGCACTCACAGCTCCGGGGAGGGACAGGGGCAGCACTCACAGCTCTGGGATGGGACAGGGGCAGCACTCACAGCTCCGGGGGTGGGACAGGGGCAGCACTCACAGCTCCGGGGGTGGGACAGGGGCAGCACTCACAGCTCTGGGATGGGACAGGGGCAGCACTCACAGCTCCGGGGTGGGACAGGGGCAGCACTCACAGCTCCGGGGTGGGACAGGGGCAGCACTCACAGCTCCGGGGGGCGCGGGCGCGCCGGAACCGTCCCTCGAAGCTCACGGTGACCCCGTCCTCCTGCAGGCGGAACAGCCGCGCCCTGGAGCCCCCCCGGGCCTTCACCTTCCACAGCAGCGACCCCTGGAGCATCCGCTGGACGTCCTCATCCTCCGTCAGCCCTGCGGGGACAGCCCTGGGCTACCGGGGGCACGGGGGGGCATGGGCTGGGGGGGATTGGTGCACATCTGGGTGCACATCTGTATCCTGTGGGATGGCATGGGACAAATGGGACAGGAGGGATGGGATGGGATCCATGGGATGGGATGGGATGGGATGGGATGGGATGGGGTGGGATGGGATGGGATGGGGTGGGATCCATGGGATGGGGTGGGATGGGATGGGATGGGATGGGATGGGGTGGCACAGGACAGGATGGAGGGATGGGACAGGACAGGGTGAGATGGACAAGAGAGGCTGATGGGGTGGGACGTGAATGACACAATGTGACAATGCAGATGGGACAAGATGGGATAAGATGGGACAAATAGGACTGGACAGGAGGGGGTGGAGCAGACTGGACTGGATGGGACAGGGTGGGATGGGACAAGATGAGGCAGATGGGATGGGACAGAGCAGATGGGGTGGAACAAACAGGTTGGGATGGGATGGGAATGGGAATGGGAATGGGAATGGGAATGGGAATGGGAATGGGAATGGGAATGAGACAGGACAGGCAGGAGAGGACAGACAGGAAAAGCCACTGCCCTGGCCCTCTTTGGAGCCCAGTGTGGCTGTTCAGGGGGCACAGGGCACAGCAGTGACACAGCCCAGCTGCTAAATCCCAGCAAAGCTGCCCAGATCCTGCATGGAGAGTGCCAGGACGGTGCCAGCAGCAGAGCTCAGGCTGGGAACAATGACAGGGTGGCCTCAGGGGACTGGCAGGCCCACGCCTCAGCCAGGATTTTTCCATCTGTTCACAGAATGGTTATTTCCTCCCTTTATTCTTTCGGCAGCTATTTCTAAGATCTCCAATGACCACGTCCTGCTCTGGATGGAGATTCCACTCCTGGGCTGGGAAAGGGTGGTTTGGGGGCTTGGGGACATTCTGAGCCACCATGGCCTCGGGGATGCAGCCACCAGCTGCCAGCATCTCCTGCACCGTCACATCCTGCCCAAGGTGCAGGACAGAGGGCAGGTGAGGGGACATGGGGACACAAACATGGGGCTGCAGGGATGTAGGGACACATGGATACAGGGATGGACACGTGGATACAGCTCCATGGGCACAGGGAATGTCAGATCCATGGGCACAGGGATGGAGGGACACATGGATACAGGGATGGGCATGAGGATATAGGGATGGGCATGGGGATATAGGGATGAACACATGGATACAGGTGCATGGGCACAGGGATGGGCACATGGAAAGTCAGATCCATGGGCACAGGGAATGTCAGTTCTGTGGGCACAGGGAATGTCAAGTCCATGGGCACAGGTGTGTGGATGCACAGACACCAGGACACACGGACGATGGATACAGAGATGCAGGGATGTGTGGATCCATGGATCTGCTGATGGAAGGACAGACAACAGACGGACATTCAGGTGGGTGGGTGCATGCACAGGTGCATGGATGCAGGCACATGTGGGTGCATGGACACAGCTCCTCAGTCACACAGACACAGGGGACACAGGGATGCACTGACAGGATGCAGGGATGCATGGACCAGCATGGATGCACTGCTGCAGGACACACGGACATGCGGGCACGAGCATTGGGATGGACAGACAGACACACGGACATGCATGGACATAGAGGTGGGTGCTCCCAGACACAGCCCAGGGGAGGCATGGACACACAGGTGCAGGGAGGCAGGGACAGATGGACACATGGATGTGTGGATACTGAGGTGCAGGGACAGATGGGTGCAAGGACACACAGCCGCAGAGACACACGGACACACGGACACACAGACACAGGGACACACAGACACACGGGCACAGGGACACACGGACACAGGGGCACACAGACACACGGACACACAGACACAGGGACACACAGACACACAGACACATGGACACACGGACACACAGACACACGGACACACGGAGCTGCAGCAGCTCCAGGCACTCGGCCCCGTGTCCAGGGCTGGGGGCACAGGGCCAGACCTGCCCCTTCCTGCTGCTCCCTCCCAGGACCCGCCCTGACCCTGCGGGCACCCCCTGCCCTGCTGGGCTGCTGAGCCCCGTGTGCCCCCTGTGCCAGGGCAGCGCCCCTGGGGCGGGGAAACTGAGGCACGGTGCTGGGGAGTGGCACCCGAGCCTTGGGGACAACAAATGCCCTGAGCAAGGGGGCTCCTGTCACCTGTGATGCGGCCAAACCCTGATCCCGCTGTCCCCCAAAGGCTGGGGTGATGCACAGATATTTTGGGGTGGCCTTGGGGACCCCGCCCTGCTGTGGGGGACCCATCCCAGCCATGGGGACCCCCCTGCCCTGGGGCCTGTTCCCGTCCCAAGGAATATTCCTGTCCCCCCATTTCGGGGACCCCTCCCGGACCCCCCTGGCCCAGCCCTGGCGGGGTTTCTCCCCGTTCCCCCCGAACTCACCCATTTTCTTCAGGGCTCTCCCGGGCCGGCGGGAGCCCCCGGCACCTTCGGACGGGGCTCGGAGCTGTTCGGCGGCGGGACGCGCCCTCCTGCCGCAGATCATGGCCCGGGACCCCCGGCACCCCCGGTACCCCCGGCGTTTACGGGAGTGTTTCGGGACTCCGGTGCTCCCGGTGCCCCGGCCGGTTCTGGCGCTCCCGGCGCTCCCGGTGCCCCCGGCCGGTGGAACCGGGCTGGGCGGTGGCGGAGGTCGGGGCTGGGGCTGGGGCTGGGCGGCCGGGCCGTGACCGGGGCCGGCCGCGGGGAGGGACCGGGAGGAGCCACAGGGCAGCCGGGCTCTGTTAACCGTTTGTGCCGGCCCGGGGCGAACGGGGCTCACCGGGGCTGGCCGGGGCTCACCGGGACTAACCGGGGCTGTCCGGGGCTGGCCGGGGCTGGCCGGGGCTCACCGGGGCTCACCGGGACGGGACCGAGCTACACCGGGCTCGTTCTGCACCGCGGCTGCCTCAACACCGGGAACGGGCCGGGTCCCGACGTGTCCCCGGTTCTGTGCAGCCGGTCCCGTTCTGTCCGAGCCCGGGACAAACCGGTGGTCCCCGCTGTCCCCCGCCTGCACCGGCGGAGAGCCCCCTCTGCCCGGGACCTCCCGGTGACCGTCCCCAGTGAGTGACACCTGGGGAGGGGCAGCAGAATGAGCCGGGAGGTGCCAGTCCCAGAGCCCCGAATGTGTGAGTGTGAGTGTGAGTGTGAGTGTGAGTGTGAGTGTGAGTGTGCAGCCACGCTCACACAGACCCCAGAAGGGTTTAGGGTGGGAAGGACCCCAGGATCATTGAGGCTGTGCCTGACCCCCCCCTTGTCCCCAGCCCAGGGCACTCAGTGCCACATCCAGGAATTCCTTGGGCACCTCCAGGGATGGGCACCCCAAAGCCCCCTGGGCAGCTTCTCCCAAGGCCTGGGCACCCTTTCCATGGGGAAATTCCTGCTGGTGCCCACCCTGAGCCTGCCCTGAGGCCGTTTGCCCCCTGAGGGTGGTGGGGCAGGAGGGGATGGGTCACTGGAAGCTTCTCCAAAATTCCAGAGTGTCCACGGGAGCAGGGAGGGCACCCCAGGCCTGGCGGGGCTGTGGGGACCAGGAGCTGCAGGACAGGAGGAGGAGGTGACTGTCCCCAGCCCCTGGGTGGGACAGCTGGGCATGCAGGGGTGAGAGCAGGGCAGGCTGGAGCAACATCTGGGCAACATCTGGGCACCTGGAGTGACAGCTGAGTGTCCTGGGGTGACATCTGGGCTCTTAGGGCAGCATCTGGATACCCTGGGGGATGTTGGAAGATACTGAGGGAACATCTGGGCACCCTGGGTGTGTCCTGAGCAACATCTGGGCACCATTGGGAGACATCTGGGCAGCACCTGAGCAGCCTGGGACAGAGTTTCAGTGCTGTAGTTCCAGACCTGGGCAGTTTCTGCCACATCTGGACAGCTGGGGACACATCTGGGCTGTGTTTGGGGGGGATAAAGCTCTTCCTGAAGACTTTGGGGACAGGGTGATGAAGATTGCAATGCAAGATGTTTTCCATTGCCATCTGTATGGCAGATTATCTTTGTCAAGTGGGCAGTTTGCCTTATCTCTCTCTTTGAGTGACCACATTCACTCCTCCCTGGGAGGGGACACTGCTGATAACAGCTATGGAATGTCCCTGCATGGCTGATAAGAACTACAGCATCCCATTGGGAGATGTGAGCCCAGAGGGAGGAGCCAAGCATTCCTGCCTGGATATAATCCAGAGGTTTTGAGACACCAGCACGGCTTCTGCACTGGATTCCCCAGAGCAACAAAAGCTGCCTCTTCCTCCACTGGATCTTCAGAGGCAGAATCCATCCTTCTCTACAGGATCCCTGCTCCAGCAGAGCCAGCCCTGACACTGCAGGAGGGCTGAGCCACAATTCCAATGGTTCTGCTGCCCACACCCTGACCCACAGGGTGTCAGGCTGGGTCCTGACTCTGTCAGTGTTGTTCTGGTGCACTGCATTGTTTATTTTACCCTTTTATTTTTTCCCCCTTCCCTATTAAAGAACTGTTATTTCCTGCTCCCATAATTTTGCCTAAGAGCCCCTAAATTTAAAATTTACAGCAATTCGGAGGGGTGGGGAGGGTTTACATTCTCCAGTTCAGAAAAGGCTCCTGCATTCCTTAGTGTGAAAAATGCCTGTATTTTATGACTGGCTTTTCACAAATATTCAAATGAATATTATATGTGTTGTGTTAGAAAGTGATGCTGTATTAATTCTCTTAAGGACTGTGTTAAATATAGTTTTAGGTTATAAAAATGTTAAAATAGAAACGATGCTGGGTAGGATGCTTTTTTTAAAGAAAGGACTCGCACTGAGATAGCAGCCACAGGACACCTGAATCTTTCAGAGAAAAAGAATTTCTTGCTCCATTATCAGAAGAAATGAACTTCTTCCTGCCTCAAAGGCACTGTCAGGATTCAGAGGAAGAAGTTGACAATGACCAGACAGAATCCTGTGTTTGAATGGAATTTATGCATCATGTATGAAATGTATGAATATGCAACAGGCTGTTGTTTTTAAGGGTTAATCCTCTGTTAACGTGGGTCCTTTTTTGGACTCGTGCTGCCCAGAAAGAGGTACCTGGACGTCTGTAACTTTTTGTATTTATTGTCTCATATTGTCCTAATTCAAATTGTCCAAATTATTATTACTCTAATTGTATTATTATTTTTAATAACCATTTTATTACTATTAAACTTTTAAAATTTTTAAAGACAAGTGATTGGCATTTTTCACACTTAGCAGACTCCTGTCTTTCCAAACCAAGACACACGAGGACACTGGAGTCACCCCAAAAATGCAATTTCAACCCACATCAGCAGGCTCTGCTCCAAGCTCTCTTCCTCGCAGGAGTTCAGCCTCGCCTGGGTGGGATGAGCAGGATAAACACCTCTGGTTGCAAAAACCCCGTGGTGTAGGATTGATGGGGGATAGGATGGATGTAGATGAGAGATTTCTGCAGCCAGGGCTGGAACTTGGGGTTTATTGCAAAGGGCCTGGGTGCAGGGCCCTGCTGGGAGCTGCCAGGCACAGCTCAGAGCAGGACTGAGAGAAGAGAGGGGGAGAGAGGATGAGAGGGTAAGAGAGTAAAAGTGTAAAACAGCGAGGTTCCCGTTACAACACCTTAAATCTTCTGTGTTGAATATTCTGATTCTCACTAACCAATCTAGTACAACACACAAATCCTAAAGCATTTCCATACAGCCTATAAGAATCAGTACATTACCACACACTGTGTCACATTTTAAACCCTAAAAACTCCTCTTTGGGCCCCTTCTGCCAAGCTGGCAGGGTCTGCTCTGACCCTTGGGCCTGTCTGCAAGCAGAGGGTGTTGTTCCATCAAAAGGGGATCACCTTCAGCTGGCCACACCATTGTTTTCCAGTTGTTCAGTAACTGAGGGATCTCAAAGCTTGCTTTCATTGCAATCTCACTTATAGTTTCCATATTGTGAAAATCTTTTGCCAGACAATCATATTTATAAGGCTTTCCTGTTTCATCTTCCCCAGCCCTGCGGCACAACAAATCCCTGCTCTGGTTCCTCCCCTCCCTGGCGCTGCTGTTTTCTGCCAGCTTGGAAGGGATCCCGCGGGATTCGGGATCGCATTCCCGGCCGATTATAGCACAGCACGAGTGCCGTGAATCAGCGCAGGAATCCTGAGTCAGAGCTTGGAAATGGCCGGGGAGTTAAAAGATTTTACTGCTTTTGTTTCATTTTTTTATTATTATGATTTATTTCTTTTTATTTATTTGTCTTTAATTGGCAAAGGAAATCTTTCCCCAGGCGATGTGGATGGGATTTAGAAGGGTTTGGGGGGTGTTGACCCACTTGGATTTGGGATTTGGAGGTGGGGTTAAGGTTGGAAAACCAGAGTGGGAGGCAAGGATGAAACAGGGATGCTGAAAGCTGCTCTGCATCCCAACCCCAGCATCCTGGGCCAGGCTGGATCCAGGGAGTCCCCATGGCCCCCTAGAACCTCCCACAGCACCCCAGAACCTCCCATGGCACCCCAGAACCTTCCATGGCACCCCAGGACCTCCCACCCCCCCAGGGGACCTTGTTGTGCCAGGTCACACACGTCCCCATGTCCCCACAGCCCTTGGAGTAGGGGGGCTTCACCCCTCAGAGACCCCAAATTCTGCCCCTTCCTTGCTACCATAATTAATGAAGTTGGATAATAATTAACAGTGGTTAAAAGTATCCGGTGAATAAAAGAACAGTGGATGCAATTGGGTAATAATTAACAATTGCTCTGCCTGACCCAGCTGTCCCCTCTCCTGCCTGGTGGCCCGGTGGCACTGTCCCAGTGCCATGTTCCACATCCAGTGCCCTGTTCCAGACCCCAGTGCAGTGTCCAACCCTCCCAGTGCACTGTCCCACTCCCTGGCCCCTTCCCCTGGCACCTTTGGCACCATTGTCCCTGTCCCCACTGCAGTGTCCTGGTGTCACAGTGCATGGCCCCAGTGTCCCCATGTGTGGCCCCAGAATCCTGGATGATTGTCACAGAATCCCAGGATGGTTTGGGTTGGAAAGGACCTTAAAGCCACCCAGTGCCACCCCTGCCATGGCAGGGACACCTTCCACTGTCCCAGGCTGCTCCAAGCCCCGATGTCCAACCTGGCCTTGGGCACTGCCAGGGATTGAGGGGCTTTGGGCACCCTGTGCCAGTGTCCCAGAGCATTCCTGTGCCCTGGCACTTTCAGCACAGCCCAGGTGGCACCCCCAGCACTGTCCCCGTGCCTGCTGCATTGTCACGGCTCTGCCACCACCCCATGGCACTGTGCTCCTGCACAGGGTCCCTGTGCCAGGGCTGGCTCCCAGAGCTCCACACCTGGGGACAGCCTGGGTGCTCCGAGGTGCTGGGCACTGTCCCTAGGCACCACCTCACTGTCCCCTCTCCCAGCGCACTGTCCCTGTCCTGTCTCTCACTGTCCCACTGTCCCTGTGCACTCTCATTGTCCTGGCTCACCATCCCTGTGCACTGTCCCACTGTCCCTGCCCCCGTCCCTGTCCCCTGTTCCTCTGTCCCTGTCCCCCTGTCCCTGTCCTTCTGTCCCTGTGCCCATCCCAGTCCCACTGTCCTCGTCCCCCTGTCCCTGTCCCAGTCTCCCTGTCCCAGTCCCTCTGTCTCTCTGTCCCTCTGTCCCTCTGTCCCTGTCCCTGTCCCTGTCCCTCTCTCCCAGTCCCTCTGTCCGTGTCCCAGTCCCTGTCCCTGTCCCACTGTCCCTGTCCCAGTCCCGTGTCCCTGTCCCTCTGTCCGTGTCCCAGTCCCTGTCCCTCTGTCCCCCTGTCCCCCGTCCCTCTGTCCCTCTGTCCCAGCCCTGCAGTCCCTCCCGTCCCCGCCAGGCGGCGCCTCCCCTCCCCGCTCTCCGCGCGCTGCCCGCTCCGGCCGGCAGGGGGCGCCAGGAGCGCAGGGTGGGCGGGGCCCGTTCCGGGAGCCGCGCGCTGATTGGGGACGGCTCAGAGGGGGCCAATGTAAGACAGACGCTGATTGGTCACAGAGCGGGGCGGCCGATGTAAGACGGGCCCTGATTGGCCCCGCTCTGTCCCCGCACGGAGAGGGACCGGGAGCGGAGCCGAGAGCGGAGCCGGAGCCGGTGCGGGGCCGGTCCCGCCATGGAGGAGCCGGGCTGCGGGGCGCAGTTCCGCGCCGCCGTGCAGGTGATCCAGGGGCTGCCGCGGAGCGGTGAGTAGCGGCCGGGAGCGGGGCCGGGCGGCTGCGGTGTGAGCGGCCCCGCTGACCGTGCCCCGCAGGTGCGTACCGGCCCTCGTACGAGGAGATGCTGCGCTTCTACAGCTACTACAAACAGGCGACGGCGGGGCGCTGCCAGGGCCCGCGGCCCGGCTTCTGGGACCCCATCGGCCGCTACAAGTGGTAAGGGGGGCGGAGGGTCCCGGTCCCAGTCCCAGTCCCGCTCCGGGTGCGGTCCGGGTCCGGTTCAGGTCAGGTCCCGCTCCCGCTCCCCCTCCGGTTCCGGTCAGGTCCCGGTCCTAGTCCCGCTCCAGTTACGGTCCGGTCCCGGTCCCCCTCCGGTTCTGGTCCAGTCCCGGTCCCGCTCCGGTTTTTGTCCCGCTCCATTCCCGCTCGCGCTCCGGTTCCGGTCCGGTCCTGGTCCCAGTCCCGGTCCCGCTCCAGTTACGGTCCGGTCCCAGTCGCGGTCCCGCTATGGTTCTGATCCCGCTCCGGTCCCGCTCTGGTTCCAGTCCCGCTCCGGTTCTGGTCCGGTCCTGGTCCAGTCTCGGTCCCTGTCCCCCTCCCGGTCCCGCTCCCGCTCCGGTCCCGCTCCCGCTCCGGTCCCGGTCCCGCTCCGGTTCCGGTCCCGCTCCGGTGCCGGTCCCGCTCCGGTTCCTCTCCGGTTCCGGTCCGGTCCCGGTCCCGGCCCCGCTGACGGCCCGGGCCCCGCAGGGACGCGTGGCACAGCCTGGGCGCGATGTCCAAGGAGGAGGCGATGGCCGCGTACGTAGCGGAGATGAAGAAGGTGGCACAGAAGGTACCGGGGTGGGCGGCGGGGCCGGGCCGGGCGCTGCCCGGTGCTGCCCGGTGCCCGTGCCCAGCCGCGGCCTCCGCAGGTCATTGACACCGTGCCCATGGACGAGAGCACGCAGGAGATGTTCCGCTACTTCGAGCCGCTCTACGAGGTCATCCACGACCTGCCCCGGCCCCCCGAGTCCTTCTTCAGGAGCACAGCGGGTGAGTGGGGCCGTGCCTGGTGCTGCCGTGCCCGGTGCTGCCCCCGGTGCTGCCGTGCCCTGGAGCTGCCGTGCCCGGTGCTGCCCCCAGTGCTGCCGTGCCCCCGGGTGTGACACTGGTGTCCCTCTGTGTGACAGTGGTCCCCTTGTGTGACACTGGTGTCCCTGTGTGTGACAGAGGAGTCCCTATGTGTAAAACAGGTGTCCCTGTGTGTGACAGAGGTGTCCCTGTGTGTGACAGAGGTGTCCCTGTGTGTGACACTGGTTTGCCTGTGTGTGATATTTGTGTCCCCTTGTGTGACAGAGGTGTCCCCTTGTGTGACAGAGGTGTCCCTGTGTGTGGCACAGGTGTCCCTGTGTGTGACTGAAGTGTGTCTCTGTGACTCAGGTGTCCCTGTGTGTGACACTGCTGTCCCAGTGTGTGACAGAGGTGTCCCCTTATGTGACACCACTGTCCCTCTGTGTCCCAGGTGCTTTGTTCTCCATTTTGATGCTGAATCCCTTTAAAAGGCAGATTTGGTTTTCCTCTGAAATTTAAAATCTATGTCTCAATGGGTCATTATCCACTTGGGAGTGTCACCTACAGGTGACATTGTCACTTAAATCCAAACTTGGTGGAACAACGAGCCCAGGGTGGCTGGAACTGAGGTGCAAAGCACTGAGCTCCTCAAGGTGTTGAGTCATTTGTGTTAAAGGCTCCCAAATCACCTTCAGACCCTGCAATCTCAGCTTTGGTGGAGCAGAAAGGAGATTTCAGAGTGTGGAGCGTGGCAGGTGCCTCCAGCAGCTTCTGGTGTCCCTCGGTGTGACTCTGGTGTCCCTGTGCGTGACAGAGCTCACAGAGCTGGGGGTCTGGGCACCTTTGGGTTTGTTTATTTATATATAAAGTTATAAAGCAGCACTTGGAACCCAAACCGTGGATGGATCCAGGTCTCTGCTTTCAGCAGAGCCCTGTGAACGTGGTGGCTGCAGCCAGGTCTGTCCTGGTGCTCTGGGAGGTGACAGGAGCCACACTCTGGGGGTCACAACACCCCGAGCAGGGTTTGGGGATGGGGAGGAAGATTTTGGGAATCTGAGGAGGATTTGGGAGGATCACAGAGCAGTGGCACTACCCCTGTGTGGGGTGCAGCTGCCTTGTCCCCCTCAATGTCCCCTGTGATGGCGAGGACAGGCTGGGGACAGCAGAGAGTGAGGGAAGGAGCAGCAGGGCAGCGTTGCCACACACCTGCCCAGGAGCAGAGAGCAAAGTCCTGGGGGCTGCTGGAAATCTGGCTGGGATTAACCCCTTGGGCTCCAGGGGGTGCTGGGGAGGCCTGGGGCCTGTCAGGACCCTCAGGGTGCTGCTGGCCCAGGTCCTTGGGGTGCTGCTGGCCCAGGTCCTTGGGGTGCTGCTGGCCCAGGTTCTGGGGTGCTGCTGGCCCAAGTCCCTGGGGTGCTGCTGGCCCAGATCCCTGGGGTGCTGCTGGCCCAGATCTTGGGGTGCTGCTGGCCCAGATCCCTGGGGTGCTGCTGGCCCAAGTCCCTGGGGTGCTGCTGGCCCAGATCCCTGGGGTGCTGCTGGCCCAGATCCCTGGGGTGCTGCTGGCCACACAAGGCTCCTCCAGCCAACACCTCTTGCCCTGGGCTGTTACCATGGCTGTGCCCTGGGCTGTGGGCACTGCCAGGGGACAGCAGTGTCACTGTCACTCAGCAGTGCTGATCCCTCTGCCTGCTGCCCCAGGGGACAGGGACACCCCACCACCCCTGGGTGAGCAGGGTGGGTTCCTGGGCTCTCAGCAAACAAACCTGGCTCCTCTCCTTCCCTGCCAGCTGCTGGCACCTCCCTGGCATTTCCATGGGCAGCCCGGCCCCAGGGAGCCAGCCCAGCCAGGACAGCAGCTCTGAGCCACAAAATGACCCAGCTGTGCCTTTCCCTCCATGCAGAGAGCCAGGGACAGCAGGATGGCACCAGCCAGGATGGCACAGAGAGCAGCCCAGCTCCAGAGAGCCCCAGGGACGCCCTGCCTGGGCAGCAGCAGCAGGGGCCAGGTTGGTGTCCCTGCCTTGCAGAGCCCTGTGCAGCACAACCAGGGCTGGGGCTCCATCCATCCATGGAGCTATTGGCACCTCTGGCCCAGCCCTGGGTGCTCTGGGCACTGCCCAGGTCAGGGGTCTGGCTCTCCCTGGACTTGTGGGGTTGGCTCTGCCTCACTCCTGCTGTGCAAAGGGGCCAGGATCTGCTAAACTGCAGGGACAAGGGGAGGCTGGTGCCCCATGGGCTGGGAAAAATCACCCTGGAAGGTCCCTGATCCATGGGGGGATGTTCCCCCATGGCTCAAGCCACGTTTGCTGCTTCCTTGGCACTGAGATTCACAGCACCAAGCCCTGGTGGTGCCTCAGCCCTGGCTTTTCTCTCACCCCCTGCCTCGCTGTGCCCCCCTCGAGGGCCCCTGGCTGTGCCCTGGGGTGGGCAGGGTGCTGCAGGGAGGTTCCTCCTCCTCCTGCTGCTGCTCCAGCCTTCCCCCAGGAGCAAATATGGTCACAGAGCGAGTGCCAGTGTGCCAGCCTCGAGTGCTGCCCAGGGGGCTGGGCAGTGTCCGTGCCTGTGCCACTGCTGCCCTGGGGCCCTGGGGTTGTGCAGAAGGGGAAATTCAGTCCTTGGCTTCATGGCCACGTGAGCAGAGCTGCTCCCACCCCTGCAGTGCCTCAGTTTCCCTCTCCAGCCTTGTCTTGGGCATGCTCATCCCCTGTTCCAGCTGTGCCCTCTACACAGCTGGGCAGTCCTGCCCTGCCCAGGGCTCAGCCCTGTGCTTCCCTTCCAGGACCTGGGCTGGCTCCTGCCCCCGAGGGGACCCAGGTGACGAGTGACTCTGATGGGGACACGTTCAGTGAAACCCTGGAGCAGATGGAGCCTGAGAAGGTAACGGAAGAAGCGCTGGAGGCTTTGCCACCCCTGCCCTGCTCGCTCTGCACAGCAGCACCAGCCTGGGAGCTTCATAAAACCAGCAGGGACACCCTCCTGCAGCTCTCTGTGCTTTGTGTCACTCCTGGAGCCTGTCCCTGTCACTGGGGGGTGCTGAGGAGCCTCCCCAGCCCCCCGTTGCTGTGGTGAGGCTCCACCATGTACATGAGTGCCACCACCTGGATTGTTCCCCTGCCACATTTGGTGCCATGCTGAGGCCTGGTGGCTCTGGTGGAAGGAGGAAGGAAATCCCTCCCCCGCTTTTTCCACCTCAGATCTGGGCACTCACTCCCCTCAGATGTCACCTCCCAAACCAGAAATGCCATCAAAAATGCCTCCCCAAAAATGCCACCCCAAGAGCAGCACTGCACTGCTGCCCTGGCATTGCCCCCCCTGCCCTGGGGAGGGGAGTGGGGGTCTCAGGGCCCTTCTCTCCCATCTCACAGGCCAGGCAGGTGCGGGGGCTCACCCCAAAAACCCCCCAGGCTGGGCCTGAGCCCCTCAGTGCTGGGCAGGGCGAGCGGGGCGAAGGCAGAAGAGCCGAGGGGAGCAGCAGCACAGACCTGCCAGCCCTGGGCTCCGACACAGGTGGGTGCAGAGCTTGTCCCTGCGCCCCTTCCTGCTGCTGCTCACCTCCATGGGCTGGGCTGGGGGGTTGGGGAGCTGAGTTTGGCTCCAGCACCCACAATTGGGTGCTCAGTAGCTGAAGGAAGCCACAAATGTCCTGTCTCTGCATCCCTTGGTCCCTAAGCAGCTCAGCCCCTCCTTTGCCCATTTCCTGCTGTGGTACTGAATTGCCTGAGTTTGGAGGATGCTCTGCTGGCCCTCCAGCAGGGCCCTGGCTCCCCATGCCCTGCCCCTTGTCCTTCAGATGTGGGTGGTGCCAAGGGTGAGCTGTGCCAGCAGGGCAGGGGGGAAGCTGGGCTCTGTGCCCTGGAGGCCTTGGGGACAGCAGTGCCACTCCCCTGGGCACCACCAGGCCTTGAGCTGTGCCACAGCACCCTCTGTGCTGTGCCCAGACACTCTGGGCTGCCCTGGGGTGGCATTGCCACCCTCACCCATGGGACTGGTGCCATGGCTTCACCTGGGCACAGCCCACAGCCCTTTCCCCTGTTACTGTTCCCTTCCAGGCTGCCTGACCTTGGCAGTGAGCTTGTCCCCAGGCCAGGCTGGGCTGTCCCCAGGGCTGGCAGCGAGTCCCTGCCTGTGTCCTGCTCCCTGCCTGGATTATCCAGGGGTTTGCCGGCCTGATCTGGGGCCTTTGCTGGGCCCAGGCATGAGTTGCTCTGGCCCTGGGTGTCCAGCCCAGTGGTGGCACCTTCACCAGGTGTCACCAGGTGACCCACAGCACCCACCCCATTGGTGGGCTGGCCACCCACTGCCACCACCAGGCAGTGTCACAGTGGTGCATGGCCCTGGGGACATCCTGTGGGTGGGCAGGTGCCCCGTGGGAGTCGCTGCCCAGCGGTGGGTGGCAGCGCGGGGCGGGCAGTGCCAGCCTGGCCTGGCAGCCGTGTGCCCGTGGCTGTGCCCGCAGATGTGCGGCTGCCCGTGGGGAGCAGCCCCGAGCCGGGGCTGCCGGCGGAGCTGGAGGCGCACGTGGCCGGCGCGGTGCGGGCGCTGCAGGAGGAGCTGCGGCGGGTGCGGGAGCGGCTCAGCCGCCTGGAGACGCTCGGGGCTGCCCAGGTACGGCCGGGGGCAGCGCTGGGCTCGGCTCCGGGCCCTGCCACAAGGGGTGGCCCCGGTGTGGGGACACCCCGGTGCTTGGTGGTGACAAATCCTGCCGGGGCCGAGCCTGGTGGTGCCCAGGGCTGCCCCTTGCTGCCACTGCCCCCCTCATTTCATTGCCCCACTTACTCCTACTGCCCCCTCATTCCCACTGCTACCCCCATCCCTATTTTCCCCTCTCATTCCCACTGCCTCCCTCATTCCTCCTGCCCCCCTCATTCCCATTGCCCTGCTCACCCCCATTGCCCCCCTCATTCCCACTGCCCCCTCATCCCTGTTTTCCCTTCATTCCTGCTGCCCCCCTCATTCCCATTGCCCCCCTCATTTCCACTGCCTCTTCATTCCTGTTTCCCCCTCATTCCCTCTGCTCCCCGCATTCCCACTGCCCCTTCATTCCCATTTCCTCCCTCATTCCTGCCCCCCTCATTCCTGTTTCCCCCCTCATTTGTTTCCCCCTCATTCCCACTGCCCCCTTTGTTCCCAGTGCCCCCCTTATTCCCACTGCCTTTTCATTCCTGTTTTCCCCTCATTCCCATTGCCCTGCTTACTCCCATTTCCCCCCTCATTCCCATTTCGCCCCTCATTCCCACAGCTCTGGGCTCCTGGCCCAGCTGCACCCTCTGATCCCTGCACAGCCTCTCCAGCCGTTCCCTCCCTCTCCCAGGGGCTGGCAGGGGGTGCCAGCCCCAGCTGCACCCCAAACCCTCTCCTGTCTTTCAGGGGGAGACAGACCCCAGCCCGGCACTCGCTCCACAGGTGAGTTGGGGCTGAAGGACGTGCTGGGGGTGGCCCTGCTGTCCCCCTGCCCACCCGACAGCCCACGGGGATGTGGGGACACAGCTGGGGGAGGTCAGGGGAGGGCCATCCATGGGGACACTGCCAGGGACAGCGGTGTGATGCACACAGGAAGGGGAATGTGACCGGGACACCGAGCAGTGGCGGTGAGGGGGTGTCGCTGCCATCGGTGCCACCTCTGTCCCCGTCCCCTGGCCAGGCCGTGTCCCGGTGGCGCCTGCCCGTGTCCCCACGCACGCTGCTCTTCCTGGCCACCTGGCCCTTCGTCACCCAGTGGCTGCTGCGCCACTGGCAGGGCAGGAAGAGGTGACCCCCGACCACCGCCACCGCCAGCCCTCCTCGCCATCCCGCTTCGCACGGAGCCACGCGGGAACCGCCTCAGCAGCCACCGGGACACCGGCACCGACACTGAGGGCCAGCACCGGCCCCCGCGCCGCCACCACGCACAGCCGGAGCCGGAGCAGCCCCGGGCCCGGCCCGGCCTCACCAGGGACATCACCGAGCCTGCCTCAATTAAAGTCGCATTTTCGGTTCAGCCCCGCTGCCTGTGCCCGCCTGCCAGGGGAGGGGAGTGCGGCCAAACGCTCCGGCCCCAGCCACTGTCCCCAGCTGGTCACCCCCTGTCCCTGCTTGGTCACCCCCTGTCCCCCTGCCGGGTCCGTCTCCAGGCCCCAGCCTGCCCCCCCCCGGCCGGGTGCAATGCCCACCCTGAGGGTGCCACCGGCCCCCGTTCGGGAGGCGGCGGTGGGGAAGCCCCAGGGCTCCCCGGGACCTCCGTGAGGGGGTGCCCGGTGCGGGGCTGGGCAGGGCGGGTTCCACCCGCGGGTTCCTCCCCCCGTGAGGCCGCGGCTGCCCCGGGGCCCTCCTGTGCTGCTCCCCCTCAGACATGGAGCCCCCCCCGGCCCGGCCATGGCTCCCCCCGCCGTGTGTCCCTCAGCGGGGCCCTCAAACCCTGCCAGCCCCCCCGAACATGGGGCCCGAGGGGGACATCGCCACCGTGGCTGGGGGTGGCAGGGCCGGGAACGGGATCGGGACCGGGACCGGCACAAGGCCCGGGGCCTCCCCATCCCCCTCCTTCGCCGTGCCCCTCCCCCCGCACCCCCCGGGCTTCGGGAGCGCGGCTCCGCACCGCCCCTGCGAAAAGGGACGCGGCGCCTTTAAGAGAGGACTTCTTTCCGCTTCGGTTTGTTTACATCTCCCTCCGCCAACTGCAGCACCGCCGCACTCCACACGGCACCGGGATCCTTCCGCTCGCCCCCTTCCCCCCCGGGCCTGCGCACCCCCGAAGCCCCTCCCGGGCCCCCTACAGCCCAGTCTGGCTTGGCTCGGCCCGGCCCGGCCCTGTACAACCCCCCCGGTCCCGGGGCCGCAGCATGGTCGGCGGAACCTCCGCCGCGCAGGGACTCTTTTCGGACCGTGCCACAGCCCCGCCGCGGGGGGAACGCGCGCGCTGCCCTCGGCGCGGACCTGAAGGTCGCGGGGCGCGCGCGTCCCCGCGCACGGGGACTCCCCCGCCTCGTGGTACGGCCCGGTCCCGCCTTCTCCCCCTCGCGATTGGTGGCGCCGCGCAGGAGTGACGGCCATCCCAGCCAATGGCGACCAGTCCCCGCAACGGCCAGGGGCGTGTCCCGGCGGGCCAGCCCGCCCCCCGCGCCCGCTGATTGGCCGCGAGGCGGCACCGCCCGCGCGCTCGGGGCCGTGGCGGCGGCGCGGGTTGCGCGGCGGGGGCGGGTCCCGACGCGCGGCGGGGCGGGGCGCGCAGGGCGCCTGCGCGGGGCGGGGCGGGGCGCGCGCGGCTATAAAGGGAGCGGCCGCGGCCAGGGAGAGGCAGTCGGGAGCGGGCGGCGGCGGGCGCGGGTTGGGCCGTGGGGTGGGATTGCGGCGGGAGCGGCGGCGGCGGCGCGTGCAGTGCGCGCGGGGAGGCGGGCCCGGCGGCGTTAAACCTCCCCCGGGCCATGTCCCGGGCGGCCTGAGCGGGGCCAGCCCCCATGCGGCGCCGGTAGCGCCCGTCAGCGAGCGTAGCCGAGCGCAGCGCTATGGCCGACGCGGCGCCCGCTGAACCGGGGCCGGAGCCCCAGTGCGAAGCGGAGCCTCGCTCCGAGCCCGAGGCGCGGCCGGAGCCCCAGTCCGAGTCCGAGCCGCAGCCCGAGCGCGGAGAGGCGCCGACGGAGGACGGCGATGCCGGGCGGCTGCCGCCCCCCGGGGCGGAGGCGGCGGCGGGCGGCGCCGAGGGGCGGCCGCCGGCGGGCGGAGCGGGGCGTCCCGGCCTGGGCCCGCGGTACCGGGCCGTGGGACGCACCGAGGAGTGGCCGGTGAAGAAGAAGCACCGTCGGCGGCCGTCGAAGAAGAAGCGGCGCTGGAAGCCGTACTCGAAGCTGAGCTGGGAGGAGAAGCAGCAGTTCGACGAGCGGCAGAGCCTCCGCGCCTCCCGGCTGCGAGCGGAGATGTTCGCCAAGGGGCAGCCGGTGGCTCCCTACAACACCACGCAGTTCCTCATGGAGGACCATGACCAGGAGGAGCCCGACCTGAAAACCGGGCTGTACCCGCGGCGAGCGGCCGCCAAGTCGGACGACACGAGCGAGGAGGATTTCCTGGACGACGCGGCGGACGAGGACGGGGGCAGCGACGGGATGGGGGGGGACGGCAGCGAGTTTCTGCAGAGGGACTTCTCGGAGACCTACGAGCGGTACCATGTGGAGAGCCTGCAGAACATGAGCAAGCAGGAGCTGGTGAAGGAGTACCTGGAGCTGGAGAAGTGCCTGTCGCGCATGGAGGAGGAGAACAACCGGCTGAGGATGGAGAGCAAAAAAGCCGGCGGGGAAGCGGCGGACCCGGCGCGGGTGCAGGCGCTGGAGCGGGAGGTGGACAGGCTGCGAGCCGAGAACCTGCGGCTGCTGCGGGAGCGGGAGCTGCCCCGGCAGGAAAAGGGCCCCTGCAAGCCGGGGGAGTGACACTGGGCAGGGGGGCGAGGGGGGGTTTTTACAGTGCTGGGTGGAACATTCGGTCCTTGTACAGAATCGCCGCGGACCCTTTTTACGGGCTAAACTGCAGCTGGGTGGGCCGAGGGCTCCCCCTTTTTTAGGTGGCTGTGATGGGGTGAGGGGGGGGTTGATGTATTGGTGATATCTGGTTTATGGTTTTGGTTTTGTTTTTTTTTTGTTTGTTTGTTTTGATTTTTTTTTTTTTTTTGTGTCTAAACCAAAAAAAAGAAAAAAATTCCCCAGGAAAGCTGTAAATTGGCCAAAACTGACTATAAAAAAAAAATACAGAGGTCTAATAAATTTAATTACTTGTAACTGTAATAGTTTTGGTGTGATTTCTCGAAAATAATCAGAATGACATTCCACCAGGGAATACATCCTGGATTATTTTCATGGTGTTATAACTGTTGTTTGATTAAACTTAGTTGTAATTCCCCGCTTAACCCTTTTTGTTATTATTTTACCCCATTTGTTTTCAATTTTAATTCTGCTTAATGTGCTGAAATAGTTCAAAGTACCTGGAAGGGGGGGTAAAATGGTGTGTGATGGACACAGAGGAGTAGGAGTAGCCTCAAGTCTGTCTGTTTGCCTAAGGCTCACTTAAACTTGACTCTGTTTCCCCGCAGCTCTGCAGGAATCCAGGTCATTAACTGGAATCTGGGCAAAAACTGCCCCAAAATTAAAAAAAAAAATACTTAAAGCTACAAGTGAGAGGAAAAACCTTAAAGTTTTGGAGCAACCCAAGGAAAAGTTTTGGTAGTCAGCACTTGGCCTCTGAAATGGCTGACGAGGGAAAGGCGATGGCTCAACCTCCCTCCTGCTGCACCTGAGAGGGGGAGGAGGAGGGAGAAGCTCCGAGCCTGGGGCTTTTTTTGGGGGGTGAAGAGGTCCATGAAGGGGTGAAGCAGGGGAGGAGGGGCTGAGGTGCAGCCAGAAGTGGGGATGGGGCTGGGAGGTGATGAAAGCTGGACCTGGTGAGGCAGGAGCAGGCATGGGCCTGGGAATGGGGGAATCGGGCATGTCCACAAAACCCGAGGGAGGGGACGGGGCTGTCCCAGCGCTCCGGGGACAGCCGGAGCCGGGATGGGCCCGGGCACATGCCCAGCAATGGGGGAATTGGGCATTTCCACAAAAGCCGAGGGAAGGGATGGGGTTGTCCCAGCGCTGCCGGGGCAGGATCGGGGCTGGAACGGTCCCACCAGGTTTAACCCCAGCCTGGCCAAACCCCTGCGGCTCCACGGGGGAAAACCAGCCTTATTCAGGGGGAGAGGACAGCGACGTCCCCAGCGCAGGTGGGGCGGTGTAAACCCGGGGGTTAAAGCGAGGGAGCCGCTGGAGGGGGAATGACACCGATTTGAACTCCCCCCAGCCCCCATCCAGCTCTGGGGCACGGCGGGGGGAAGGAAACGAGCCAGGGCCACTTGCTCAAGAGCCCGGGAGCCAGCGGCTCCTTCTCTGTGCCATGACATCACCGCAGCGCCGGGGAGGGGGGGCCGTGATCTGCGGGGTCCTGCGGGCTGGGATGGGGCCGAGCCCCCCTGCTCCTCCGGCCCGGGCCCGGGCGATGCTTCCCCCGCTGTTTATTTCCCTGCAGAGCGATTTTGTGTCCGCGATTCCCACAAGAGGCGTTTTGTCCCCAGGTTGATGGCACCGATGGGGGTTCCTGATGGTCCCAGCTCTGGGAAATGCAGCTCCCGGTACCTGCTTTGTGGGAAAAGCTCGAGCCAAGGCGATATTCTCAGTCGGGTTTTGCCCTCATCCACTCACCCCACACCTGTCAGCCAGGTTCAAGGCCCTGGAATAAATGTTTTCTCTGCAAATGCTTTAAAAAAATACAACTTAGAAAAACCCAAAGCAAACAAACCAACTAAAAGGACCATAACCATCAACCCTCCAACCTCCTCTGCCCCCACCAACTTCTCCTGCTTTATTCCATCTGTTTAAACCAGGTTATCCTGATCCCAGGGGCTCGGTGCAGCTCCTGCAGACACAGACCAGGGACATTTGGGGACCTTTGGAACCTCGGAGTGGATCAGTAATGGACAAGGAGCTCCTCCCTGGCTGGAGACAGAGCTGCCCATCCCAAGGCTTCCCACAAGCTCCAGGAGCTGACTGGAGCTCAGCTGTGTGAGCACAGAGCCACAGCAGCAGGGATCAGCCTGGCACAGCTCAGCTTGCAACCAGAGGCTGCAATCATGGAATGGTTTGGGTTGGATGTGACCTTCAAGACCATCCAGTGCCAACCTTGCCATGGTGGGGAGGGCCTGGCAGAGGTTCCCAGAGCAGCTGTGGCTGGTCCTGGATCCCTGGAAATGTCCAAGGCCAGGTTGGACCAGGCTTGGAGCAGCTGCCATGGCAGGGGGTGGAATGAGATGAGCTTTAGGGTCTCTTCCCACCCAAACCATTCCATGATTCTCTGGCCAGGCAGGAATCACTTCCCCAGGGCTCCATGGCTGTGGGAAGGCAGCACCAACGCTGGATTTGGGGCACCAGGGAACACAGAGCATTGGGAGATCCTCTGGCAAAGGGTCCCCCAGCTCCTCCCCTCCCAAGGGTTTTGTTTTCAAAAGAAAGGGCTGAAATTCTGTCAGCACCAACACAAAAATGGACACTGCTCCACCCCATGTGCAGGAATGGCCTTTCCCCTTGGACAGGAGCAAAGCAGGGACACAGCAGATCCCTGGAAACACTGCAAATCCAAGAAGGAAGTGTCTGTTGGGGTGAGGTGAGCCCCAAATCCTGCCCTGGGACACAGCAGCCCCTTGGAGCTGCTCCTGGTGCTCCTTTTGTGGCAGTGGCTCCATGGTCCCTGCCAGGGTTACAGCTCTGGCATCCCACCATGCCCTGCCACCACCTCACCTGCCCCAGCTCCCCCTCACTGGCCCCACCTACCCAGGACACGTTGGTGACTGGTGACTCTAGGTGACACAAGTGGCATTTTGGTGAAACAAGAGGTCAACCTGCAGCTGATGGGGCCATCACAAAAAAACCTGGCAGCTCCAGCCCCTCAGGGTTGTTCCCCTTCTGCTCCCCACAAACCCTGTGACACCTGGGCAGGTGCAAAGCTCACAGCTCAAACCAAGTGTGACCCTCATGAGTTCGGCAAAATCAGCTTGAAATTGCATTTTCAGCTGTCACAAGCATTTGAAGACACAAACAATAAACATCCCAGCCCTGGAAATGCAGCTGGGATACAAAATATAATGGAATGACAGAATGCATGGGGTTAGAAGGACCTTAAAGATCAGTTCCCCCCCACTGCCATGGGCAGGGACACCTTCCACTCTCCCAGGTTGCTCCAAGCCCTGTCCAGCATGGCCTTGGACACTTCCAGGGCTGGGGAAGCCCTCACCTTTCCATATGATGCTTTGGAATTCAGGACCTGCTACAGCAACATTTGCAGAGTCACAACAACAAATACAATTAAAAAAAAAAACCCAAAAACCACCCCACCCACCAAGTGCCTAAATGTCAAATAATCTGGTTTTAACTTGCTGACCCACGTCTGACAGCACAATCCGCACTTAGAGCGGAAGGCTCCCAAATCTCCCTGTTTTAAACCTAAACCCAGCCCCACAAATACCAGGGGATGAGCTGGTGTTATCGAGGCAACAACGGGGCTGGCAACAGGAGCTCCACTGAGGAGCCGTGGGGAGGCTGCGCCAGCTCAATCCCTCCCCCCAAAAAAAGCCATTTTTAGTTTTTAAAGAGCTGGGTTTTGACTTTGCACGGGGTAAACAACGCAGCAGGTGCTTCGCCAGCCCCGGAGGGGCATCGCTCCCTGCGAGCCCGGGGTCGCTCGCGTTTGTTACCGCCCGAGAAGTTCCCCCGGGCCCTGGCAACAGCCGAACGCTTTTGTTTTTGAGTCTCGGAGCTCCCCGCCGGGGAGGCCATGTTAGCTGAGATCCACTGGATCCGGCCGGGATCGCTCCGGGAACCCCGCGGGCTTTGGCTGAAATGTGTGAAACAAAGGATTAAATAAATATCAGGGATTATCTCCCCCCACCCAAACCGCGGGGTGTGAGGGACCCCGGCACATCCAGCCCCAATTTCCCTCAGAACTGCGCTGTTCCTTCCCTCGCTGCTCCTCACGGGGGGCAGGCAGGGCCAGCCCCGCACGAGATCGGGCTGCGGCCGTGACAAACGTTCAAATACCGTTTAACGCTAATTTTGATCGAAAAACAGCCCCAGCCCCCGCCCAGTAACACAGGTACAGCCGGAGAGCTCCGGGCCGGGCTCCTCCACCCCACCGGCTCAGCTCCGTGAGCTCCGGTCCCGAAACGCTGAGGGAGACACGGCCGGTGGCGCCGCGGCACCGCCCCCCATTAGGGCCAACGAGGGGCCTCACGCTCCGCTCGCGGGACAGAGCCCCGGCCGGACCGCCCCTGCTGCCGCCTCGGGGCCGCGGACGGGAGCGGGCCCAGCCCGGCCCCTCACACACAAAATGGCGCCGGCGGCACCGCTCCCGCTCCCGCTCCGCCCGCCCGGCCGCCATAGCCGCCGTCCCGGCTCCGTCGCTCTCCAGCCAATCAGAACCCGTCGTGCCGCTGCGTGACGGCCCGGAGGAGCCAATGGAAACGCGAATAGCAGAGGAAGAGGCGGTGCCTGTCTCCACCGTGAGGCATTATGGGGGCTGTAGTCCGTCAGCGCGTCGCGGTAGTGAGGCCGGGGCGCTTGCGGACTCGCCGCCCCAGGACGCTCCGCGGCCGCACGTGGCGGGCGCTGTGTCACGGCGGGAGGCGGAGGAACCGGGCCCGGTTCCGCCGCGGGGGCGGAACAGCGAATACCGAACACCGAGGCCTCCGCAGGCCCCGATGTGCCCAGGGAGGCCTTGCAGGGCCCGTGGGGCTCCGAGAGGAGAATTTTGTCCGGGATGGCGACACCGAAAGCCCTGAGGGCTGCTCGGCCGGGGCGGCCCAGTCGCCGAGACCTTGCTCAGGCGGGGGCGGGGAAGATCCAGGAACGGGTCGAGGGGGTGACCCCAGCGCCTCAGGGGGGTGTTCGGCCCCAAGTGAGGGTGCCTTTCTCTTCAGCCGTCTGAATTTAACTCCCCGATGCTCTGTCCTTCTCCAGAACCGTTCCAGCAGCAGCAGCCACAGATCAGGATGAAAATTGGCACACAGAGATCGCAATTAGATGGATCACAATTAGCAGACACAGACCACAATTAGCAGAGACGTATCCCCTCAGCACGGTGGGAGCTTGGTGTGCTCAGGTGACAGTTCTACCCTCAAATCACCCGGCTGGTGACAGTTCTATTCCCAAATCACCGTCTGCCCAATTCCAGCTCTGCCAAGGGCTCCTCCCAGGCTTATCTGGCCTCCATCTCACTTCTCTCAAGGAGAGAAGTGACCCACCGTGCAAAGTCCATGAGCTTTCCCCAGGGTTTCAAGGGGATTTTTTTTCCCCCACTGGTTGTGCCCCTTGCTGGCTGAGCCCTGTGGGGTGTGGACAGGGGGGTTCAGTTAGCAGGAATTTGAAGGGAATGTGTCCTTGGGGGATCAGGGCACATAAAAGGCAAAAATAAGCAATACAGTTTGCAAATAAAAGGAAAAAAACCCCTCACTACCAACCTGAAATGTCTCTCCCTTCAAAGTTGGTCATCTTGAACTCCCATTTTCTGGGGCAGGCTGGGCCCTGGTCCTGTCCCTATGTGATTTTTGGGAAGGAACAGTTCAGGGGATGAGCCTGAGCAGCCACTTGAAGCATGTGGAATTAAGTTCTGATGTTCCAAAAAGACAAAGAGGAATTTTCTGGGGGGGGGGGGGGGGGAGGTGTTTTTATTTTTATATTGGGTTGGGTGGGGTTTTTTTGGGTTTTTTTTGTTTTTTCTTTTGGGGGGGGGGTTGTGTGTGGGGGGGGGTTGTGTTTGGGTTTTTTTGGGGTTTTTTGGTTTTGTTTGTTTGTTTGTTTGTTTTCTGGGCTGATAAATCCCCAATCATAAATTTTCCTCCCCATTATGTATTTTAATGAGTGGGGGGTTAATTGTGCCAAACGTTTTCTGGCCAGAGGGTTGGTGTTGGATATGGCCTGGCTGTTCCTAAGTGGGAAAGGGGATGGGGAGGTGTAAACAGAGGGTTTGTCCCTGTCCCCCACCCTGGTCTGATGGGATCTCCCCGGGAGGCAGAGCCAGGAGTTCTGTGGTGCTCCGGGGACAGGGGGGCTGCTCCTGGCACCCCTGAGCTCTCAGATGTTCTCCCTGTGCTGACCCATCCCTCCAGGCCAGAAAATACCCATTTTTGGGGATTTCTGTATCAAGCTGTGACATCAGTCCCCAGCTAGCACAGGTGGGGTGTGACTCCTAGCGTGTCCCATCTCCTGGGATTTTGTGCTGTCAGAGGGACAGAGCCTGATGACTGCCTCAACCATGGGATCCTCTGCTTGTTCCTGCTCTTCCCTGCTTGTTCTGCCCTTCCCTGCCTGTTCCTGCCCTTCCTTGCCTGCTCCTGCCCTTCCCCGTCTGTTGTGCCCTTCCCTGCCTGTTCCTGCCCTTCCCTGCCTGCTCCTCCTTTTCCCTGCCTGTTCTGCCCTTCCCTGCTTGTTCTGGTTTTCCCTGCCTGCTCCTGCCCTTTCCTGCTTGTTCCTGCCCTTCCCTGCCTGCTCCTGTCCTTCTCTGCTCCTTCCCTTTCCTGTCTGCTGTTCCCCTTCCCTTCCCTTCCCTTCCCTTCCCTTCCCTTCCCTTCCCTTCCCTTCCCTTCCCTTCCCTTCCCTTCCCTTCCCTTCCCTTCCCTTCCCTTCCCTTCCCTTCCCGGGGAGCCCGCAGGGCTTTGGAGGAGGCAGGAGCAGCCGGGCTGCTGATAAAGCTGATAACCCCTCGGGGCGTTGTGCTTATCTCTGAGCCCAGCTCTGGCACTCCCCCGCCGTGCCTTTAGCCACCGGGGGCTCTCTGAGGTGCCACGGGCCATTATTTGTCACCTTGCGGGATTTTTGTGAGGCTGCAGAGGCAATTCCCCCTCCCCAGGGCGCTCCCCAGTCCATCCCTGACTCCCTGCACCCTTCTGGGGCTGCAGGAGCAGGTCCAAGGTCCCGAGGCTGCCTGGAGGAGCTGGATCAGCCAAGCCCACACAGGGACAGGCTGATTCCCGAGCTGGTGCCAGAGATACTGTGGTTTATAGATCCAGATTGATTTATTTGCCATGTATTTGGGTCTTTTCCAGCCATATTTTAGCTCCTCCACACCCTGACGAGTCTGGCTGAGCACCGCCACCCCTGGGTCCTCCCACCCTTTGTGGCATCCCAAAGCCAGGGTGCCACAACCCTTTCCACGCTGTCAGGAATAATTCTGGGGCGATGGATGTTTGCACAACCTTGATCCTGCAGAATGGGGTTTGACCCCAGCTCCCAGCAGCCACCATCCCAACTCTCAGTGCCCTACACCCAGCACTGAGCTGCCAGCACCCAGAGCTCCAGCTCCTGGCATCCATCCCCCAGAATTCCATGTCCCAGCATTCCCTTGTCCCCTCCTCCCGCATCCATCCCCCAGAATTCCATATCCCAGCATCCCGCATCCATCCCCCAGGGCTCCATGTCCCAACTCCCGGATCCCAGTGTTCCCAGCGCTGCCACCATGCATCAGCCATGACTTCCAGCACCCAACACTCATCTCCCAGTGCTCCCATTTCCACCAGCAGCCTGCACCCAGCTCCAGTGCTCCCAGCAGGCATCAGCCATCACTCCCAGCACCCGCACCCCAGTTCCCAGTAATTCCAGCATCCCCAGCACTGATCTCCCAGTATTTCCAGCACTCCCAACACCAAGTTGTCAGCGCACCCAGCTCTCCACACCCAGCTCCCAGTGCTCCCAGCACCCAGTTCCCACTGCTCCCAGTGCTCCTATCTCCCAGTATCCAGCTCCCAGCATTCCCAGTATCCAGCTCCCAGCGCTCCTACTGCTCCCAGTGCTCCCATCTCCCAGCATCCAGCTCCCAGTGTTCCCATTGTTCCCAGTGCTCCCAGCTCCCAGCACTCCCAGTGCTCCCAGTATCCAGCTCCCAGCATTCCCAGCATCCAGCTGCCAGTGCTCCCAGCGTTCCCATCTCCCAGCATCCAGCTCCCAGCGCTCCCAGCATCCAGCTCCCAGTGTTCCCAGTGCTCCCAGTGTTCCCAGTGCTTTCAGTGCTCCCAGTGCTCCCAGTGCTCCCAGTTCCCGGCCGCTCCCCCTCCCGCGAGCGCTGCGGGGCGCCAGAGCCGCACACGTGCGCTCCGCCTGGCCCCGCCCACATTTCCCAATAAGGGAGTGACCACGCCCACAGCATTGCGCAACGCGCCGGCCCCGCCCAACCCGGAAGCCGCGTTCCGAACGTCCCCGCCCCCATCGTAGCCCCGCCCCCAGAGCGTGCGCAGCCGGCCCCGCCCACCAGCGGCGCCCCCCCCGCTTATGGCCCCGCCCCCGTGTCCCCGCCCCCGTGTCCCCCCCCCCCCCCCGTGTCCCTCTGTGTGCCCCCGTGTCCCCCAGGTGTCCCCAAACCTTGCCAGGTCCCCTGTGCTTCCATGTCCCTCCATCTGTGGTGTCCCTGCTGTCCCCACCGCTGGTGTCCCCCTGGAGTCCCCCCTTGTGCCCACATGTCCCCTCCCGCCCCTCCCGTGTCCCTCTGCGTGCCCCCGTGTCCCCCCATGTCCCCTCCTGTGTCCCTCTGTGTGCCCCCGTGTCCCCCAGGTGTCCGAGCCCTTGCCATGTCCCCTGTGCCCCTATGTCCCTCCTTCTGGGCTGTCCCTGCTGCCCCCACCATGGAGTCTCCCTGGAGTCCCCCCGTGTGCCCCCATGTCCTCTGTGTCCCCGTGTCCCTCTGATGTCCCCATGTCTTCTGCTCCATGGCCTCTGCAGGCCCTGTGGGCCCTTGTGGCTCCCATGTCCCCCTGTCCCCAGTGTCCACTGCCTTCCCTGTGTCCCCTCCATGCTGCCCTGGTCCCCCCAAGTCCCCCTGAGTACCCCCCTGTGTCCCCTGTGCTCATGTCCTTCGTGTGCCCCTGTGTTCCCTGTGCCCCCCAAGTCCCCAGTGCCCCCCATGTCCCCATGTCACCCATGTCCCCCACGCATGTCTGGCACATGTGCTGAGTCTTCCTTCCTGGGAAAATGGGGAGCAGGGACTGTGTCACCCCCTGGGTGATGGGCACAGGGATTGTGTCCTCTGGGTAATGGGAACAGGGGCTGTGTCCCCCCCCGGGTAATGGGAACAGGGGCTGTGTCCCCTCTGGGTGATGGGAACAGGGACTGTGTCCCCTCTGGGTGACAGGAACAGGGGCTGTGTCCCCTCTGGGTGATGGGAGCAGGGACTGTGTCCCCCTGAGGTCATTGAGCCCTTCCCTCAGGCACAAGGGGCTCAAGGACAGACGGACATCCAGCACCCACTGATGTGACCCTGTCCCTCCTGCTGTCACTCAGCACCAGGGTGACACCGTTTATTGTGGGACATACAGAAAAGCAGAGGCAGCTGAACCTGCCCAGAGGGTCCTGATTGAACCCAAAGGGGAAGGAGGGGATGCACGGGGGGTTGGGGTGAACTGGGGGGCACCCCATGGGCAGCACGAGTGGGTTTGGGGTTGGGGGAATCACCTGGGAATCCCATCCCGGCCGTGCCAGAGGATCCCTGGGCAGATGGGGACACCTTGATTCCCAAAGCAGAGCACATGGCTGC